TGCAAGAATCCAAATTATTGAAGTCCACCCTATCACAACCCGCACACCCGATTACCTAAATATACATGAACTTACGGTTAAAGCTCAACAGCTGGCCTCTGTAGCTCAGTTGGTTAGAGCGCTGCACCGGAATCACAGGGCCGTAAGTTCAATTCCTACCAGAGGACCTTGTGCTGCATTTTTCGCAGTCGTTCCTGGTTAGGTCTTAAAATGTATATATTCTCACTTGGATTACAAACCCTAACATTCTAATATTAATTCCACCAAGTGAAGTGCAAGAATCCAAATTATTGAAGTCCACTTTATCACAACCCGCACACCCGATTACCTAAATATACATGAACTTACGGTTAAAGCTCAACAGCTGGCCTCTGTAGCTCAGTTGGTTAGAGCATTGCACCGGAATCGCAGGGCCGTAGGTTCAATTCCTACCAGAGGACCTTGTGCTGCATTTTTCGCAGTCGTTCCTGGTTAGGTCTTAAAATGTATATATATTCTCACTTGGATTACAAACCCTAACATTCTAATATTAATTCCAACAAGTGAAGTGCAAGAATCCAAATTATTGAAGTCCACCTTATCACAACCTGCACACCCGATTACCTAAATATACATGAACTTACAGTTAAAGCTCAACAGCTGGCCTCTGTAGCTCAGTTGGTTAGAGCACTGCACCGGAATCGCAGGGCTGTAGGTTCAATTCCTACCAGAGGACCTTGTGCTGCATTTTTCGCAGTCGTTCCTGGTTAGGTCTTAAAATGTATATATTCTCACTTGGATTACAAACCCTAACATTCTAATATTAATTCCAACAAGTGAAGTACAAGAATCCAAATGATTGAAGTCCACCTTATCACAACCCGCACACCCGATTACCTAAATATACATTAACTTACGGTTAAAGCTCAACAGCTGGCCGAGCTGTAGCTCAGTTGGTTAGAGCGCTGCACCGGAATCGCAGGGCCGTAGGTTCAATTCCTACCAGAGAACCTTGTCCTGCATTTTTCGCAGTCGTTCCTGGTTAGGTCTTAAATGTATATATTCTCACTTGGATTACAATCCCTAACATTCTAATAGTAAGTCGACCAAGTGAAGTCCAAGAATCCAAATTATTGAAGTCCACCTTATCACAACCCGCACACCCAATTACCTAAATATACATGAACTTACGGTTAAAGCTCAACAGCTGGCCTCTGTAGCTCAGTTGGTTAGAGCGCTGCACCGGAATCGCAGGGCCGTAGGTTAAATTCCTACCAGAGGACCTTGTGCTGCATTTTTCGCAGTCGTTCCTGGTTAGATCTTAAAATGTATATATTCTCACTTGGATTACAAACCCTAACATTCTAACATTTGAAATTTAGGATTTGGATGTTTTGCGATCACTGATAACTTGATAATAATGTAAAAGAAAACACTTCTATCTGCAACTTTTACAATCACTGATAACTTGATAATAATTTAAACCAGTCAAGTTGTAGTTTAAATAGAGAATAATACATGTGTGCACGAAATACCAGATTTATTTCGAGTGTTGAACATGAGTGTGCAGCGAACAAGTGAGCGCAGCGAACGAGTGAGATGTCATGTTCAACACGAAAAATAAATCTGGTATTTCCAACCACCCATGTATTTTTCTGTTTATTATATACAGGACAGTCTTAAATGAAAAGCGATAATTTTTACAGAAAAGCGATAATTGAAAAGGCGATAATTTTCACATGTGAGATTATCATGAATAATTTCACATGTGAGATTATCATTTTTATCAGTGCTCGAAATCTCTGTAAAACACAATACTTTATATAATAAAAATTCATAAATTTGAACCATGCTAGAGCATGACAACAGCAAAATGCTCTATAGTATGATGCACAATATTTTGGGAGGTGAAATACACGAACAATAAATCAGAGAGTGTTTGCTTGGAACTCACTGGGGTGGGGCAACACCCCTGATAATTGCTCATGAGGAATTTCAGGTAGATTTCCAGTGCACTTTTAGGTAAATTTAAGTAGATTTGCAGAAGATTTTCAGGGGAATTCAGCTAATTCTCAGGACATGAGAAAGTGAATTTGGAAAACAACTGTATTTTCGGAAAAATTATTATATGTCCTGAATTTTTTTTGTACATCTGGAAAAATTTTGGTAGCCCCCCCCCCTCTATCTAACCTCACACACACCCTCAGACGAAGTGCTCGCAACGGCAATGAGTATAAATCTTTTGAAACCAGGCGAGGGGTTATTGCATGCATGTATTTCTAGTATATAATATATCCTAATATATCACTTTCAATAAAACGCGATTTGACTTTAAAATTGAGTTTCGTGACAAACGAAGCCGCCCCCCGTCCATCCGCCTGTCCCCCCGTCCGTCCGTCCGTATCCGCGTTTTATCCTAACTCACAATTTCGCTTGATTTTCAAAGGCCATAAATCGCTAGAATACTGATATTTAGTATTAATACACTTGTATGGGCGTCCAAAAGGAACAAAATTATGAATACACACACAATTAAGTCCAATGCTTGTAAACACAATGAAAGCTCACACATGTAATACGAAACGCTCACAAAAGACATTCGAACCACGCGCAAATAAGCCGAACCTCTCACACACAAGTGGAAATGTCACACGCACAATACGAACCTCTCACACACAAGTCGAAATGTCACACACAAAAAAGTCGAACTTTCTTCGTGGGGGGTTCGGCAAATTAGCATGTTAATTTATTTAGGACGAAAAAATTTGCAACATTTCCGCCGTTTACGGCGGGAGAATAGAATGTAGCCATAGGCGTACCGGGGGGGGGGCGGTAGCCCCCCAGTTTTCTGGGCAGTCGGCCAATATTCGATTAACAGTCGGGCAATTTTGGTTTGTAATAAAAATAAATGGAACAAATTCTGTCAATTTGTCGAAAATTCAGTCAATTTTGTGGCAAATTTAGTGTTTTTTGGAAGATTTGTGATGTTCCGAAAAATTTTGGTATGTAAGGAAAATTTTTTTGACCCCTAAAATGGTACACTGACCGCCAAAATAATTTTTTCGGAAAAAATTTTTCGGTACTAGTCGGGCACATAAAGTCGGGCAATTTTCTTTCCGCCCCCCTATTTTTTTCCTTTCGGTTCGCCCATGAATGTAGCGTTTTAACTACAAAACACTTTTTGGCTCACGTGTTTGGCTTGAATAAGGATACTTTACATCGCATACAACAGCATGGAAGAGGATAATTACTTGCATGTGACGGAAGATAGAATTCAGTCGTTGGTCTGGGGGATAGTTGGCGAACTATTTGTCCCACCGGCCCAGGAAAGATCAGCAATTTGGTGCCACTGAAGCTTGCCGAGAACTAGAGCTGATAACGGGAAACGTTGACACCGAGATACAGTCATACAGTGTAAATGGTCCTTATTCAAGCCAAACACGTACGTGAGCCAAAAGAGCCGGCTTTGTAGTTAAAACGCTAGAAATCGCAACATTCTATTCTCCCGCCGTAAACAAAGTGCGGAAATGTATGCAAATGTTTTCGTCCTAAATAAATTAACATGCTAATTTGCCGAGCCTCCCACCACAGAGCTCCCACGAAGAAAGTTCGACTTTTTTGTGTGACATTTCGACTTGTGTGTGAGAGTTTCGTATTGTGTGTGTGTGACTACTGACATTTCGACTTGTGTGTGAGGTTCGGTTTATTTGCGCGTGGTTCGAATGTCTTTTGTGCGTTTCGTATTACATGTGTGAGCTTTCATAGTGTTTAATACAAGCATTGGACTTAAGCCTGGCGCACACGATGCGATTTTAGTCGGCCGATAAAAATCGTTTGACTAAAACTAACAAAATCGTTGTGTGTGCGGTGTCATTTTTAACCGATTTTTGTTGCTCGATTTTAATCGGACAACATCAAAACGTTTTGATATTACACGATTTTTATCGGAGTAAGTATAACCAATCAGATTTCATGCTGTGATCACGTGCTTGTATTTATTTGCCAACATGGCGGAGCCTCACCCCCCAATATTTCATAAAGTGTTCGCCACTTGCCCACACGGTGGCTTAAAAGATCTTAAAATTGTTTATTCTACCGATAAATAAAGGCTTTTTTATTGACTGGGATTTCAATAACTCGGACTGGGATTTCTAATAAAAATCCAACTGGGACTGGGATTTTGCCAAAATTTCAGGTGGGAAATGGGATTGGGACCCCCGCTCAGGACCCTCTTAAACAACACTGGGTATTAATTAACATAACGAGTAAAGCATAAAAAACAATATAAAAGTGGATGTAGGCGAGACAAGCATAGGCCATAGAGTAATCTACCTAAGGCCAAATAAAAAAAAATACTTGGTTAGCGTCACCGCCCGCCTCTCAATTTCTGCCGCCTCTGAATTTTTTTTTATTTTTTTTTATGTAAATTTCTTCGTTTTACAGCTTAAAACAGTTTAATATTTGAAATTTTTCTCATGTTCAGACGTCCGCGATATATACTGATCGAAGGAGCGCGTTGGCTTGGGTATACAAGGTTCTTACAGCAAAATGGCGGCCTTCGCAACATCAGTACAAAAAATTTCACCGATATGGTGGGAAAACAGCCTCCATCCCCCCAAAAAATACTATTAAAAAATTAAAAAACGAGTAAAAATTAAAAAAAAAAGCGCCCGCCCGCCTCTGAAAATAATTGAGAGTGTGACGCTAACCAAGTATTTTTTTTTATTTGGCCAAATAGATTGTAAAATATTTATTTAACTAGTTTCAGCAAATTTTATACCTCTTTTAATACTCTTCATTGATAACTTGCTCTCCTGAGCTTTGTCCTAATCGGGCTAGCCATCAATACAAAACTATATTTTCAAGCGGTAAAAGAGGGGGGGGGGGTCTTTAAAAAGTATAAAATGCATAAGGGGGGCCTTGAAAATGCATATAATTTTTGAGGGGGGGCCGCGAATTTTTTTTCAAAATTTCTAGTTTTTCCTCCATCCCCCCCCCTCTTGCCATATTTAATGACCGGTCCCTTATCATAAATTCAGTGAAAAATATTTTGAAATAATTATATAATTGTAAATTGGAAATAATTCAACATTGTTTATTAATTAAATATATCATTCATTTGTTACACACTGTTTAAATTTTTGTATGATTGAACAAGACCGTATCTCCACAGACAGAGTGCAGCCGTGCAGGTTCGCCCGTGCAGGTTCGCCCTAGCCCAGTTTTTCTGACGATAATTCATAATCTTCCTAAAAAAAGTAACATGTTACAATAACATGTTCAGTGTAAGCAGCTTACCATTTCTACAAACTATATAGAAGACTTCCCGAAAAAATCAGGTAATATAAATGTCAAATTATACAACTGATAACGTGATCTTTAATAATTTTTTATCAAGAAACGTCTATAATCTTAAAATAATTTAAGCTGCTGTCAACAATGCTGTTACAACTTGTTTGCACAGACTTGTCATCACCGCCTTGCTACAAACCTGTTGTGACAGACTTGCTACAAATTGATGACTACAACGGCTTGTTAACAAGTTGTTCCAACAACCTTGTAACAACTTGTTGTCAACAAGCTTGGTACAAGTTGTTCCAACAAGTTGCTACAAGTCTGTAAGTCAACAACTTGTTGACAAGTTGTTGACAACAAGTTGTTACAAGTTGTTGGCTTAACAAGCTTGTAGCAACTTGTTCAACAAGTTGCTACAAGCTTGTTAAGCCAACAACTTGTTGACAAGCTGTGCGTTTTTACGTGTGTACAGTTCAGGGAGCATATTTTTTTCGTAATCGTGTGCGGAGTATACCGATGTATATCGGTATGTCAAACGATTTTTATCGGCCGACTAAAATCGCATCGTGTGCGCCAGGCTTAAATAGTGTGTGTGTTCATAATTTTGTCCCTTTTGGACGCCCATAACACTTGACATCCATGCGAAATTCCTTGTAAAATTGTTCAATTTTCCCGAATTTTCCTCAAAATGCAGGGTTATTTATGGATAATTTGGGAAAATTGGCAGGAGCCTTATGGATAATTGTGGGAATGAGGCAACTTATTATTAATATTCTATTTTGTGGCTATCGACGATTGGAGATTGCCGATCCAAGATGCCGAAAATAGTGTCTCAGTTGGTTAATGCAATCACGAAGTTAGATGGTTCTGTAGCAGTTGTCACTGGTGGTGCACGAGGAATTGGAAAAGCGATCACGAAGTCTTTGTTACAGAAGAAAGGAAAGGTAGCACATGCAGACTTTATAATATGGTTTACTGCCGTATAAATACCTTCTGGTTTGAATATACTAATTAATATTTTTGTTTATCACTATGAACATGAGTAACCCGGAATCTTATATTTCATTAATTGTCTGAGCAGTGTAAATGATTAGCTTTGATTAATGGTTGCGGGCATTACTGTAAGTCAAAGTTGCAAGTGTAAAGTGAGTGGCTATATCACTAAGAGGGCTTCAATTGTAATTCTGTGTTCCGTGACGATGTCGCATGCTTGCAATCTGTGATTGCTGTGAATAAACTGTGATCTCTTCAAAATGGCCGATGTTTAACAGATAATCTATGGAATTTCTTTGTTTCTAAGTTGTTTTCACTGCAGTTTACTGAATTTAGATTGCAGTTTTGTCCAAACTCAGAAGCGAGAATGCCAGCAAGTATACGACCTTTATTTTGTAACTTAATCCTTTACTGACATAATTATCTGATCAATGGTGTATCTGCGCTAATTATAGATAAAATAAACACCGAAAAAGCGTTTAGCCCCAGTTATTGTAATGTTTGCAAATATTTCTGTCTCGATACTAATATCCTAAAAGATTATTGCATTAATGTTTTGATTTAAAACTCTAACAAGCAATATGATATAGAATTGTGTTGACAGAATACTGAAATTGAGGAGATTATATTTCAGGCAAGACTCAAGAGAGTGTCTATATATTATCCATACAATACAGTAAGCCAAGATTTTGGAGAATTTGGACGAGAGCTCATGTGGGAAACATCTGCAAGCTTTTTTGTTGAATGTTTTATTTAGTGTACGTAGGTAGCGCAGGTTCGATTATACATCATAGTAAGTTTAACCACACACATGCATGTTTGTGTATTGATATTAAAAACAAAGTTTATCAAATACTAAATGGCCGGCAGTCTAGTGACTATAGTTGAATATAAAAACTTTTGTTTGCATTAAATTTTATCGAGCTTGCCGTTAGCTCATACGGCAAGGGCGCTGCGTGCGGAAAGTTAAACGCAGTTGGGGTCGGGATGTGCTTTGTCTGACTTAGCATTGTTTTTTCTTAAAATTTTTTAAACTTTTTTTCCCGACTTTTCTAACTCTCAAAAGGTTAGGGTTAGGGTTAGGGGTTAGGGTTAGAAAAGGGTTTGGGGTTGGGGATAGGTTTATCTTATAAAAATTCAAATTTAACAATAGTCACTAGACTGCCGGCCATTTAGTATTTGATAAACCGTGACCGGCTGCCGGTCATATAGTCACTTCGTATTAAAAAGCTTCGAATCCGTATCGTTTAATTTCAATCCTGAGCAACTATTGTACAGAAGAGGGGTTCCGGAACCGGTAAAGCCTGTGGAACAATGAAATCCACTGTTAACGTTAGCAGAGTTAATGTTACTTTTATGTTTTTTATTGTAAAGCAACTGTATGTGTGCATGGGAAGCGAATGGTATGGAAAATGAAATCATACGGACATTGAACTGAGAGAAAAAAGGGGGTTAATAGGCGAATGCGAAAATGTATACGTTTTAGAGCAAAAGTATGGAAGCGAGGCATAGTAATGAGGAGACCGTGCTGCTTGGATGAATGCATATATTAGTTTTGACAGATTGAAAAACACACAGATTATAAAATAAAGATTCTTTATTTCTAAAGGCGTACCGATTTACAAGTGTATGAATTGAATTGAATTTTGAACAAGCTTACTAAATGGGTCTCATCAGATGGCTTTATACTTATTTGTTTTCATTGAATTCGAAGCGTTTGTGAATAAATAACATGATAATGTAAAGTATATGGTATATATTTATTTTGTGTTATTACAATTACAATTCCGCTTTGTATCCCCATTGCGCTTCCGCAATCTCGCTTCCATAATTCCGCTTGCGGGATCCCATCTTCGCGCACTTTAGTCTTTACGCCAAATTGCATCCATTCCAATATCCTGACTGAAACTCTAACTGTCTGTACCAGTAAATTCAGTTCTCGTGTCTTCTTAGTAAATTTTAGTTTTAAATGGTCCATATAAATATAATAAATAGTTTGGTTTTCTTCCCCAGCTTGTGTCCTGCATTTGTGTCATTAAAATAAGTTTGGCTTCCGATGCCGATACTAACAACAGGTAATGCGCCTGTGCAAGAAGCACGAAGACAAGTGTATTGGAAGTCACCAATACCGAAGTCGGCCTTGTATTGGAAGTCGTGGGAATTGTAAGATAAACTCGTATAGATCGGATATTTCATAATTTGTACGATAAACACGTAAACTATTTGTTTATTAGCATGCATCGCCTGATTCATATTTTAATCGCAATTTTAGCTCACCTGCCGTTTAGTATACCGCACATTTTCGGTGACGAGTAATGTGTTCTATACTTTATCTGTCGTGATAACTTAACGCTTTAAAATTCCAGGTACCAAAATGAGAACGGAAGTAAAGACATCGATATCGGTATTGATATCGGAAGTCGAACTTAAACCCTCTAGTAATAGCATTGAAGAAGTATCATTGCTAATACAATAGACAAATTTATTTATTTTTTATTTACGAGCTTTGTCATAAATGACTGGTGATCCCTACAGGGTTTATTGTCCCAAGTTCACAGGGTCCCTTAAAATTTAGAAACGACGACGTGGCAAACTTGACTACGCGGTCTCAAACTCAGCTCAAGTTGAGAACTAAGGAATTTGATTACTGTAATAAATTCGGAAGCTTTTTTTATAAAATATAACCTTGGCAAACGGCTAACTTCGGGAAAAACGATCCGGTATCTGCTGCTATGAAGTATATTTTATTTAACTCTTCCAAAGTCGCAACAAACATTCACGTTTCTCCATAGACGTGAAAATCTTTGTTTAATTAAACGTTGCATTCAGAATGAAAACGCTGTTGAGGATCAGAGGTGGAAAGGTATCAGACCAGTGACACTAGTGAGCTTAAGCAAGTGACGTTTTTGACAACACGAACGGCATGAGTAACGTCAGAAGACTGGGTCAAGGGCTGTGATTGGTGAAAAACGTCAACTTTACTTCCGGTCGACGTCCGTGTTGTCAAAAACGTCACTTGCTTAAGCTCACTACTGACAGGCCCATTGCCCCCAGAAACTATTTCCCCAAGAAAGAAAAAGCGATAATTAATACATTGTAAAAGTTTAGATGGAAGTAGAAATTCAGAGAAAAAGTTCTGCAATGGAAAGAATGTTACCTATACTGTAATATATGACCTCAGAAATACAATTATAAGTGCATCCATCTTAATAGTGCAATAGTGACTGTATAAATATATAGAGTATGGCAAATGAAAATTTTGTTCTCCCTATAGTGGTTCCCTTTTTTGGCATCTGTAAATTTGCCTTAGGATCAGACCCCTGCATGATATCTAAATTAGTTTCATGTTATATTCCCAACAGTATTATTAAGATTCTCGGTGTACTAAAATTATTTTTCAGTTAAACTGGAGTATGACATTCAGTTTGACAACTTGTTAGTGTTACACAGTTTCAGCGCCTGAGTGATGATTTACTTGATTATTCGCAGAAAATATGTCAATGTTCTCTTGCGATCCCAGAAAGTAAAATATTTTTTTCTAATCCTGTTGGGGATTAATCCCTATCACAAAGTATTCAAACGTTTTGTTTTGATGAAGAATTTCTTTGCTTCGAAAGCGCGTCTTTCAGTTCGCGTCGTGTTTTCTAAATCAGTCTAATAAGTATAGGTAATAGCATGGTTTCGAGTGCAATTTGGATATAACATGCACGAGTGAGTTTTTCAAAGACTTCAAAATAGCACGAGTCCGAAGGACGAGTGCATGTTTATCGAAATTTCACGAGAAACCATGCTATTATACTTATTAATAATTTACATAAAAATGTTCGAGACAATTGTAGTTTTAACTTACGCGTTTATAGCGAACACTCCACTGGCAAAGTTTTCCTGGCTTTGCTATCATATTATAGCAACTTGAAAATTCCACTCAACTATGTAATTTTTGTTAGTAGATAGATAGATTTATTTAACCACGCTAACCTCGTCAACTACAGCTGATTTCCACGAGGGGCGTGTGAACAAGAAGTATACAGCAAATATGAAAAGTATTTAAAAGCTATTTACAAAATAGAAAACATAGTATAAAATATATTAAGTATATGAGATAATAATGTATTTACAGATGCATATATTTGCTTTAATTATCAATGTGAGCAGCGATTTTCGTCCGAAAAGAAGAAAGGGATTTGCTCTCTTTAATTTCCTTTGGAATAGAATTCCAAAGGAATGATCCATCGTACATAAAACTTTTTTCAAATTATTAGTCCGCGGTTGCGGTAAACAAAGAGTACTTGAAACGTTTCGAAGATTATAGCTAGTCATCTCACTTTTATAAGTGAACTAGAAATACATGCATGCAATAACCACTCGCCTGTTTTCAAAAGATATATACTCAGTGCCGTTGCGAGCACTTCGTCGCAGGGTGTGTGTGTGGTTATAGATAGAGGGGAGGGGGGGGGGGTTACCAAAAAGTTTCCAGATTTACAAAAATTTTTCAGGACATATAATAATTTTTCCGAAAATACAGTTGTTTTCCAAATTCACTTTCTCAGTCATGTCCTGAGAATTACCTGAATTCCCCTGAAAATCTTCTGCAAATCTACTTAAATGTACGTACTAAAAGTGCACTGGAAATCTACCTGAAATTCATCATTAGCAATAATCAGGGGTGTTGCACCCCCCACCCCCCCCCAGTGAGTTCCAAGCAAACACTCTCTGATTTATTGTTCGTGTATTTCGATCACCTCCCAAAATATTGTGCATCATACTATAGAGCATTTTGCTGTTGTCATGCTCTAGCATGGTTCAAATTTATGAATTTTTATTATACAAAGTATAGTGTTTTACAGAGTTTTCGAGCACTGACAAAAATGATAATCTCAGATGTGAAATTATTCATGATAATCTCACATGTAAAAATTTATCGCCTTTTCAATTATCGCTTTTCTGTAAACATTATCGCTTTTCATTTAAGACTGTCCTTTATATAATAAATAGAAAAATACATGGGTGGTTGGAAATACCAGATTTATTTTTTGTGTTGAACATGACATCTCACTCGTTCGCTGCGCTCACTTGTTCGCTGCACACTCATGTTCAACACTCGAAATAAATCTGGTATTTCGTGCACCCATGTATTATTCTCTATTTCAACTTGACTGGTTTAAATTATTATCAATTTATCAGTGATTGTAAAAGTTGGAGATAGAAGTGTTTTGTTTTATATTATTATCAAGTTATCAGTGATCGCAAAACCTCCAAATCCTTAATTTCAAATGTTAGAATGTTAGGGTTTGTAATCCAAGTGAGAATAATTATATACATTTTAAGACCTAACCAGGAACGACTGCGAAAAATGCAGCACAAGGTCCTCTGGTAGGAATTGAACCTACGGCCCTGCGATTCCGGTGGAGCACTCTAACCAACTGAGCTACAGAGGCCAGCTGTTGAGCTTTAACCGTAAGTTCATGTATATTTAGGTAATCGGGTGTGCGGGTTGTGATAAGGTGGACTTCAATAATTTGGATTCTTGCACTTCACTTGGTGGACTTAATTAATATTAGAATGTTAGGGTTTGTAATCCAAGTGAGAATATATACATTTGTATATTCTCACTTGGATTACAAACTATTCTCACTTGGATTACAAAATATATACACAAAA